ATTATCATCATCTGTTCTCTTTTTCCTGACACGACTTGCTTCTTTGGCCACCCTGAGATCCACCCAGAGCACATAATAAAAAGAGACTTAACCTGGATTTGGCGACTTTGTGATGATATGAAGACGGTTTAATGGATCATAGACGAGAAGGTAATCCCATTTTAGCCTGCACATGAAATGTGTCCATTGTGGCTAATATATGATGTGCTTATGATATTTCCATATATAACAGCATATTACTGTGTAACTAATGAAACAGTCTGTTATTTAATGTGTGTAAGATTGGCCAAGAGGGAAACTTTTTTATAACAAAACTAAATTCCCATGGTTTCCTGGAGTTCATTTCTTACCCTGTTTACATCTTAAATTTCCTGCAGCCCTGAGACGGCTCACTTCACATGGGCTCAAACTAGAACACAAAGATGGGGGATGTTTACCTCACCGAGGCCACAGTCACACAAATAAAACCACAATGGAGGAGGGAGAATTGCATAATCCTTCCAAAAGCCAAACCAAATAACTGTTAAAGCCCGTATTTGTGGTAGAAAGTAATATGACCGAAAACACGCTGCAGTAAAGCGTTCTACAAACTGAACATTGTGTAATGCCGTTGTCTTTGTACATGTGTGGAGGCTTCTAAAAGTATACCACAAAAAAAACATCTTTCATCTGTTGTTATATTCAGTTGCATTCTTATTGCTTGTCACATACAGCCTGCACAATGTTAATTATAGATCAAGGCACTGCCAGTCCATAATTACAGCTGCTCAGCACTGCAATGTGCAGTCTAAATAAACTCTTCTTCTAGATATGACAACTCTTTATATAAGGCCACAACCAGTACCCATAAACTAACCATCACCGGAATTCATCTGTTTTTAAACTACCCAAACAGCTATCCCAAAAAAAATAAAAATGATATAACACCACAGAGCCTAGTTAGGCAACATCATGTTGCTTTCATGTATTTAAGGAACGTTTTACAGAAATGTCTTGTTCATCTTATCAGAAGTAAGCACAAACATTAAGGCACAGCTTGGGAAATGTACATTTTCTTTGTTTTGCAGGTTATGCAATCATCTCCCCTTTGACCCTGCATGTGTCACATGTTAGGGTGGTGGTGGGGGGGGGGACTGCAGTGTGCAGGCTCTTGCTGTGCAGCGGTGCCATGAGGGGGTATCGCTATAAATCCGAAACCAGTGGCTCCTTGACCTTTTGTCTCTCGGAATAAGATGTTCTGACCTGCCATAGCAGCATTCCTGCAGTGGCTTTGATGGGACACAAACACAGCTGATATATTATGAGAAAAGAAAAAAGTGCTTCTCATGTGATCACTCGTAATAACAAGAGGCCAAGCCTCTGAGAAGCCAAATGTATTGTTTTAATTTTGCTGACTTAAGTGTTCTGTTTTTCTGAAATTTACGAAGTCTGATTTGATCTTTTTTTCGTTCATGCGATCTCAGTAAAATAATACCAGTTCACTAAGTAAGACCATGATTCTGAAATAGAACAGATAAACTGTTCGGGAAATGGCTTTTAGAAATGGCTTGTTACAAATACTTTGTAGGACAGGTGCTAACAGGATTTAGCCAAGGTAATAAATCAAACCCACAGCGTGGATTAAGGTCAGACTCTTCAACATCCTCAGGTGAGATTAACACTTTCAATTTTAGAAACATGACACACTGCAGATCATGATCTACAGACTCTAAAGCAGCCCGATCAACATCATCATCCTCCTCTAAATAGCCAGGCCATGCACTTATCATATTCATCAATGGTGACAATGAACTTCCAAAAGAGCATGCAAGTGCAATATTTTGTCTACAATTTTAGGTTGTACAGGAGGATTGTTGTGACCGAAATGAGCACAGCAAAAATATCTGATTCACCCCCACCCGTTTTTTAAACAGGAGATTGACAGAGGAACATTATGACACAAACCCACTCGGGTCCATGCTCTGACCTCATTTATTATGTTGACAACTTTGAGGATTATTGTTTGGTCCATCATGTGTGGACAAAAATAGACTGCAATGTGTAAGGAGGAAACACAGCTACATCAGATATAAAAGGGCTTAGCTAAGGATTTATTTGATTAAGCAGGATTCAAGGCCTAACCAGTCTCTGTATGTGGTGCAACAACACCCTGTCTGTGTGAGGCTGAACTTAGTACACTTGTGGATGTTATCAAGGCGAGAACCATATCTACTTAATAACATAAGGGTGGAGCAGCAACTGGTAAACTGCCAAGACCAGCAAGTAATAAATAAATTAATTGATGTACTTTTATAATAGTATAAATGCTCTTAATATTTTAATATGTAAGCAATAAACTCCAGGTTGGACAGGTTCACACCAACCTTGACATGAGCCTGTAAATGTTTTTTCTTTTATCCACAGTAACATCAATGTTACGACCTGTCAACAGGAGAATTAAATGATGTGAAGGATGATTCTGATGTTATCATGTTATGAAATTGTGTGGAGTGCTGAAACCCTACAGTTGGTTAGTCGTTTTTTTTTTAATATGAGAAGGCAATAGTGGCACATTTTTCATCTTACATAACGAGTTGTCATTAAAGAATGGTGGCTCTTTAATGGCCTTTTATGGAACGAGCAGGGCATAACACAGCAGGGCGGAACGACAGACAGCAGTAATCTGACATTTGTTTGATGCAGCCCGCTCTTTCATCTTGACGTGATGAATATGTTGACATTCTGGGGACACACAAGTTGTATATGTCTGCATGGAAAGCAGTCCCACCAAATTATTCCCCTGCATGCGAACCCAACCGCACTGTGGCACAGCCTCGCTTATCCCGGCACAACCCCTGAATTTCCATCCGAACCAGATGTTCTTTTTTTTCTTTTTTTCATTGCATAACACAAGTAATCCAACACAAACTCTTCCCTTTGGCTGCCTGGTTTCAACCAAGCCCCTGTCGAAAGTCTAATACCTCACCTGAGGCTCTTCTCACAAGTTTAATGTTTAACTGCATTTAATGGAAAGGGATGTGGAATGAGTGATGCTGTGACTCAAATTTTGTTCTCTTTTAGCTTTGTAGAAAATCCAGCGGAATTGAGAAATGGGTGCAGATCTTCAGTCATTAACGAAAAAAGGACTGTGAACACATCTGACACATTCACAAGTGAGTTTTTAACCGGCGCTCAGATCAATGTTTGATTTGAGTAAACATATGGAAAAGATGGTTGTGTAATTTGGACAATCTGGGTTAGAAATGTATAACTGGGTTAACTTGCTGGATCATATACTGTATATATATATATTTTACATCCAAATGTGTTACAGGGCAAGAATAGTGTAATGCACACGATAGATATGACTTTATGACCTTTACTTATGAAGTTTGGTTGAATTTCTTTTAATCAAAAAGATAAACTGAATGACCTCAGAAAACTTGATACTGGCAAAAAAAAACAACAACAGCTTTTGGAGAATTTTCCTAAATGGGCGTCAGTTGCAGCTGAAGATTTACGGCGAACTATTTTCAAATAAAAAAAAGCCACATGCACTAAAGTGATCCTAGAACACACTGTTACCAACCCAACCCCGAAATAGAAGAACAATTTGAGTGTCAAAACAGACGCTGCAATCAAGCCAAATACCTAAATAAAAGTTTTCAGACACTAGCTGACTTTTCCAGTGTGGTTTGCGTTGTGTCTGCCATTAGCACAGGTAAGATAAAACGGCACGACCACTTTGAGTATCGACATGCTTGAGGTGTTCAGGTATCTAGATGGAAGTAGAAAGAGTGACTCTGATTATCTCCTGCAAAAGAGCCAATAAACGCCTGTTGCCCTCCTTATTGCTAACAAACGTCTCCCTCAATCAATATTCTGCACATCCCGCCTGCCACTAATTAAATGAAGCATTCATTCCACAGAAGCCTTATTGATCCGGACCATCGGTTTCACATAGAATCAGTCTCTTTGACACAAAACACCGACAGACACCACAGTTTCTTGTTTTAAAGTGAGCAATGGGGAAGATTCTGTGTTTACTCTTGTGCTATTTGATCTGCCATGGTGACTCTGAGTCTCTGTGTTCTCAGCGATAGATGGACGTGAGCCCGGTCTACGCACCAGGGAAGCCACAACAGATCCAGTTACACACAAGGCTGCACGCACTGGCTGCCAATCTGTCTGAAGGGAAACGCCAAGAGGACAAACTGTTTTTTTTTTTCACTCCTGCAGATTCCAATCCAACATGCAAACCAGTTATCATTACTTCACTATCATTAGTGGTCTCCCTGTTTTTCACTTTGGAAAAAAAAGGGTGTTCTTTCTAATATGGCACTTTTTTTTTTACCTCCTTCCTTTCTTAAGTCTGTGGAGCCAAAATGCTGAATTTACCTTTCTGTGAACCTCGTGTCTTATGTTGTGTTGAATTCTACAAATCACATGCTGCTTGTCAGGCTGACCCTGTAAACAAACACCCGGCTCACGACTGCTGAGCAGAAATCAGCGTGTAGTCAGAGATGTTGTGATGGGTTTTCAAGAATGCAGGGTTAGTTTTTGAACAGACTTGTGTTTTGTTTACACTGAAATTCAAATGAAATGGGGTTTTGACGGCGTGTTTTCCTCTAGCGTCGGTACCAGAAAATGAAATAGTAATGGGTGTTTATACAGCTGTCTAGTCTGTCTTCCCTGACTGAATTTCCAATGAATAAATCTCTCCATTGTGCTCAATATGTACCCTACTAAATCACCACCAACAGGAAAATATATGTATCTATAAAGGCAAATCTGGTCCAATGTGCAGTCAGTGATATTCCCCTATGACTGTATCATTGTTCATAAGTCAGAGAAACAGGAATTCATTACGCTTTCCTACCAAACTTTTGCTGAGTCACAAGCAGCAACTTGACATATTCTGTATTTCCATAATATCGTAAAATCCCTGTGTTATGTTAAAAATGGATAAAACACACGCTACTTGAGCAGGGTTAAAGAACAAAAGACATCGTGTCATCATCTTGTATTCTGTAAACATAAGGTTTATTGCAAATGTGCAGTTGTATCCAAACATCATAGCGAACAACCATTTCAGAGGATACATTACAGCAACAATACCATTATCTTTACAAAAACATATAGAAACTTTAGCTCTAGCTACAAATAAAGACTTCTCCCTGTGAACTCTTACACATGGTCCTGTTTTTTTTTTTTTTTTGCTTCTGTTGTTGTAAGACATAAAAAAAATGGAAAAGTCTTTGGTAGCTAGAAAACGACAAACAGTAGAGCTCTGTGTGAAAATATGTTCCTCTCTTAAAATGGACAGGCACTGTTGTCATGCCATTGTTTTTTTGTTTTTTTTTTACTACTTGGCATCTGAGCAAGAAAATGGACCAGATACTGGACGACGCTGCTAATATCAGGAGTGCATCTGCAGCGAAAAAAAGCTTGCTCGCCATCTCCACTATGGCTTTTTATGTACAATGTAGTAATATTTGACTCGGCAGAGCTCGGGCATCAAGAGGGGCAGACATGTTGTCCCTCTTAATTACATAAAAAAACTCTCTAAAGACATTGCTCCTATTTAACAAACGGCTGATTTTTGTTCAGAATCACTAACAAAAACAGATAAAGCAAGATTAATTTCCCCCACAAGTAGCAAGCCCCAACTGCAGACAACACAAGATTACATTTTATGAATCATAACAGTATATTGATACTGCCGTGGTCCACTATCTCCAACAGGCTATACTGCAACAACCTCCACCTCTGTTTCTTTAGCTTATCCTGTTGATTATTTGTGTTATGCTTAAACGTACATGAACCATGTGCAATACATTGTAGGTACAGGAAAAGTCCTTTTTATGTGGTTGAAATGTGTTGCTGGGAGTCCTTGAAACTTGTTTTTAAGAGATCGGACAAATCCACATGATGGGGCTCTTCTCGTTGAGACCATCTCGGATGGGTCTCCTCTTGGTGATCGCCCACGCTCTTTCCAAGTTAGCACCTGCAGGGCGAGCCCGATCAACACCTTCTCACACCCTTCTCTGGAGCAAAAAGGGGTGGCTGTTAAGAAGAGTTTGGCATATCTTAAAGCAAGCGCTCGTCTTGTGTCTTAGTCAGCCCGCTCTCTATTCCCAGCGCTTTTGTCTACAAGGAGACTACGACAAAGAGTTGGACGGTGTCTGAGGACGGGCCTGACAGCACACCAGTCAGAGCGTCTAAAAGTTCTGTTTTGTGCTTATCAGTGTCAACAGTTCTTTTTGTGTCCCATCAGTCATTTACAGCCGCGATGCTTCACCTTTCAGTGTGTCGAAGGTTTTCTCAGCGGCGGAGACTTTTGTAACTCTTACATTCAAAAATGGAGGTCCATTACTGTTAGGAGACAGTGGCTCTGCCCGCCCCAAGGCAGAGCCACTTACACAGCCGAGCCAGTGCTGTGAATGCAGGTCTGCTGCTGGTCCAAGGTCAGGTGGGAGCTCTGATTGTCCAACAGCACTTCTGTCGGGACGTGAGACTGGAACTTCTCCATCTGCTCCGGACTAGCCAGGTTCTTTAGCAGGTAGTTCTCCCTCTCCAGCTGGTTGTTCTTCTCTGCCAGCTCCTTGATTTGCTCCTTTAGGATCTCCACCTCCTCCCGCACAGCGTACATTAGGTGGTTCTTAACAAGATCCTGTCAAATCAAACAAGGGATGGATCAGTTATGATGTCAAAACTGGGACATTTTTAAGAATTTACTGGATGCATGTTCTGAGAGAAAGACAGAATTTGCAGCAAAAGGTTGAATTTATAATACTGTCATTGTGGTGTGTTTACCAGAATTAATCTCGTCTAAGATAATAGTCAAGTTGACACGTACCAACTTTGACCTAAGGGTGTATTAAATAATTTTGCTTTGCAAAAATATTTTTTCTCTCTGTCCATTTATAGGATTTCCTGCCTTCAACTCCTGCATTCGTTTTCTTCTCTGTCACATGCACAAAGCAGTACAGTAGCGTGCGCGGTCTTTATGTAACAGGAACTTGGGAGTGAATTCATTTAGATGTGCTTTGTGCCAGTGGAAAACTGGGTTTTAAGAATGTCATAAGGTTTTCCTGTTCTATACTGAAAGACAACATCTAAAAAGTTCATATTTTGATGCTGGTAACATAAAAAAGAGTTCACAATTACCTATTGGAAATGACTAAATATATGACTTTGAATAGAACAGTATTAGTTCATTTAAAAAGCTGATTTTGCTTTGCAGCCTCCAGTCAAATGGTATGTGAACACAGTTTCTTCAGAAAAAGGAACTGACTTTAATGCGCAACTTGTAATATCATCACAGTTCAAGGTATGTCCATGTCTTTGTATTGTGTTTGAGTTTGTTATCTCAGCTTACCATGGCCTGTTCGATCTTGTTGTCGATGGCCACAACGCTAGCACCAGAGGCACTGTAGAAAAGAAGAAAAGAGGCCATAAATGTACAGTTCAAAGTCAGAGACTGCTGTAAACATCATGTCAATTCAATTTGAAAACTTTTAATAGCAATGCTTCCAGGATTTCCTGGACCATGGCAATGAAACAGAAAGCATTCAAAAGAGAAAGGGAAAACTGCATCTGTTATTCACACTGTGTCTGTGTAATTAGAAGCTGATAGAGGATTTCTTGGAGAGGACGATAAGGTTTCTATATAGGTTATTGAGTAACGAGGGTGTTAAAAGACACACACAGGCAGATATCTGTACAAAGTCCAAATAAACAGCAGCAGAGACGGAACACAGCTTGCATATGTTAACACACAGATTTTGCAAATGGACGCTGTTTCTTGTAAACTATTGTACAGTATTTTGAGGCCTCTGGCAGAAAGAGAACAGGCTCTCGCACTACGAAAAATTCAAACGCAAAAACACTAATAATAATGCTTTTAAATGCTGACACTGTCGGATATTTACCTGTTGTCAAGTTTGACCGATACAACATCTCCTCCGACTAGCGAGGAGAAGAATGAGATGGAGAAGTTATGCAACTGGTAAACGGCAACCTCCATTGGTGTTTTCGCGAACATCTCCGTGCTCATGTTCAGGACCACACTCGTTTGAATAATACTTCTCGCCACGTTTGCGACTGGTTGGCCACCGAAGTGTTTATATCCGGATTTGCTTCGTCTTTTTTTTAGTAGCGATGCACTAAGTCGTTGCTGCTGCGAAAGCAGTGCTGTGTCGGTGTGTAAGCCTCGCTGGTTTAAACGAGCGACTGTCTGATGCTATTTCTGCCCCCGGCTGCCTTTTATATGGCTCGCCTCTGACGTCATATGACGCGCGCATATGTTATTCAAATGAGCTGGTGGGTCAGATTTTATGGTGCCTTCATGTACCGATGAGAAACTGATTTCACGACATGAACAAAAACACTGAGTCCAGTCTAGCCTACGTTTGCATAATAAACCGAAAGAGTGAAATGTTTAACCATGCATGGTCACGCGCTAATACACCAATAATCATGAGGCTTGCAAATGGAGTTTACTGCTGTTTTTGGGACTCTGACTTTACAAGTTGGAATATTTTTTTTTAATTACTGTGCTGATGCTGTAGTACGAAGCAAAGGTTAGAATAACACATACAGCAGTAAAGTTGTTGCAATGGAATTTACAACTTCCAACTATACAACGCCAGACTTCTTTCTATTTCAATGCATTCGACGTGGCTTTGTGAACAGGCTTTCCCAATGCAATGCATGCTGGTTTAATGAAGTGAATGACAAACAACTTGATGCTATTATTAACCTGAAATAATGCAACCAGTTATATTACATTACGCAATTCTCAACCAGTTAAACTAAAAACAGAAAGAAAGTCGGGAACAAAAAGGAGTTTCAACATGTACACTGGACGTAAACATCGGAGCCTCTGGTAGTAGCCTAACGATTTTAATTGGGAGCATTTGAATGCAGCATTTTCTGCCCTCCCTCTGAACCTCTCTGGCCTCTGCAGTTCACCCACAGACCAAAATCTGTATTCATTGATACAAACTAACTACATCATAACCATGAGAACATTACGTGTAACCACAGAATGTATAGGCAGCTCGTGTAGCCAATAAACAATCGTGATTGAACCACAAAAAGGTCGCGTGTCTTGACGATTTGCATCATCTGATCTTCATGTGAATTGCAGACCTCAACAATTTAATTAAGAGATATGTACGTTTTCTTTGAATATTTCAGTCAAAATATTCATTCAAAAGTTCTCGATTTGTTACAGGTTTCTTGTGCAATTTAATAAATCCACAAACAGACCTTTACTAGGTTACTTGACATGAATGACAACAACATCATAATGTTCCCATCAATTTATTGTTGTTTGTTACAGTACATGCTATAACTGAATGTCCAGCACCATCCTTACACAACTGATTGATATCTGCATTGGTACTTTTCCGGCATCTCTCCCAGTAAATTTCCTTCAGTCTATGTGTGAACTCTACCGGCCTCTCGTGGTGAAAACGTAGAAGACAACAGCCCACAGGAAACTATATTTTTGGCTGGAGCTTACTTCCCGCAAACGCTGTTTACTGGGTGATTTTCCATTCTCCTAAACCTTATCCTGACCCTATCATATAGCCTTTTATCTACAGGTTGTTTTCCCTGCATGGAAATATTGTGGAAATGTCCCAAGGACACTTTAAACCTATGCCCTTTTCTATCTTTAAATACAACGTGCATGTAAGCCTATGATTTCTTGTTAAAAATAATGTTAAGCCTATACTTCACCATGGACTCAACGACAAAGCTGTCACTGATATCTTAGGCTAACAGACTTCAGAAAATTACAATTAACTTCTTGTGTAAACCACTCCTTTTTATATTACACATCCCCTCATTATTCATCATTGGAAGCTGAGATACAGATCTGTTGGACAAAACTGAAGCTCTGCTCTCTTTTGTGTATGACCTCTTGCTCTTCTGATGGACTTTTGAACTTAACTTGATATCTCATGTGAGTGATGTGATGAAATGTTCTGAGCTTCCTGCAAAGTGCAATAAACAATATAAGGCAGGCACCAAATGGTGTTTTCTTTTCTGCAGCATGTTCCCTGTTGACTTTGGGTTTTATTGAGCAATAGACCTTGTTTTTACTGAGGCATCCATGCAGGTTTTAATAGCTGTAATGTAATTGCTCAGCACCTCTACGCTGTCACATTATGATCCTTTTGTTGTTACAATTATCTGATTCAATACTAATCAAATATCAATTTAGAGAGCCCCTGTTGCATGATAATGTTTTCACATAAACACCAAGGACCAGCTAATCAAATTACATGGGTCAGTTTTCCAGTCAGACCCCCACAAACATACTGGTATTATTTATACAAATCCCATATTTATACATATATGGTTGCAGCCATGAGGTTCGTGAAATTGTTTGCTTACAATATAAACTCAAACATGATTTTCTATGCCCTGTTTCGTAGAAATGTAGATTTTCAAAGGAAAACTTTTGATTTCTGTAAGCAAAGGTTAATGTTGTCGTTGTTTTTTTTTCAGAGAAAAGGGAGTTCTGTTATGTAATGAAACGTTCAGAGTGGAAAGGATCACTCTGGGTAGGCCTAACAAGGCTAAGCAGAAAACACATTGACTGGGCATTAGGACCCATAGTGCCTGTCGTCTCAGATTTCATTCTGTGACAGTACAGCTGCCAGGTTTAATATCAGGCCCTGCCCTGGTGATGAGGGGCTGCTGAATTACCTTTCCCCGCTGTGATAGCCCCATTTAATGGGGGGGGGAGTCACTCCAATTGCCTGTGGCTGAAGCTGAGATGCACAGATACTACAGACAACAGGGAGCCGTCCTGCACTGTAAAAACATGCTGTGAAATGATGGAAAGAATACCTAATGTGCCTCATGCAGAAAAAGATGAAAGGCTAAAAGGGGGTTCTTCTATCATACATTCTTTTAACTCCAACAAACACAAATTTGTGGAAGACATATACTAACAACATCAGTGGTTCTAGTTTAAACTGAAACTGCGTGTTTCTAAAGAGTGTAAGCGCCAACGACGTTGGCCTTTGCTGCATTTCGGAGAGAAAAAACTCACCCCTATTCTGTGAAACTGGTGTTGACTGACCATGTTTGGGGCGTGCCAGTGAGTCACTCTTATGCTAGGCCATGGGCAACACTTTCCATCAGATGTCCCCTGTGCAAGAGCCAACCGTGTTATATAATACCGTGATTCATCTGCACCGATGGCTGAAGGAGAATGAGGCTGAAACATGCCGCCAAACTCAAGCCTTCTGTTATAAGCAGCATTTGAGGGTTTTGGCACACCAAATTCAATATGTAAGAAAAATTGTGTGAAAATTCACAGAGTAAAATAAAATCTATTTGAGATCACTGCATGGTCAGAAAGATACAATGTCTTTTTTTTTTACTGGTCACATCCAACCTGCACTCTCACAATTAGGAATGTATGGCGTGTGTGAGTGTGTGGTCTGGGAACACACAGCTCTAGGCTGTAGCCAGCGGCCATCAGAGGAAGCTGTCAGTGTGGCCAAGAGGCCTGGTTACATCGAATGAATACTGAACACTCCACATACACAGCTCAGCATACATGAAAACACCCTGAGGATATTATTATCACATCACCTCTCTCCAGAGCCATGACTATACATAAACCAGACACATGGCCTTGGTCCTTCTCGTGAGGTTTCAACTAATTTCACAGGATGTCAATTTCTGACCTTGAATTGAATATAATATCACTTTATGTGAGAGGTTGTATGAAACATGCAGCGCATGTAGAAGACACATAACTGATTTTGTTGTCCAACAGCTGGTAGAGATGTCATTCTGGCTGCTTACACACAATGTAGAACATTGTACTTAACATTTATCAGAACAGAGAATGAATTCTAAGGTTTATTTCAGAAATTTCTTGTTCTGTATTGTTCTCTACATTTCAATCCAAATCCAAGCCATTTCCATTAATTCTACATCCATGACACACCACCATTATCATCCATTTCATCTTCTTCTGAGCTGTCTTTGAAGTGCACACTTGTCACTCACTCACCATGCCAGACATCCTCGAACACCAGACAAAATCTTGACCACCATCCGTCTCTACACTTACCGCCGATCAGGCCTTTTGAACAGACCTGGTGAGTAAGGGGGCGAGTAGCTCATCACTCTTTCAGGATAGCTGAAGTGCTGGTGGTGGCAGCAGAACCTCGGGGGCGGTTCGGCTAAGCGTAGGGCGCACAGCGTCCTGGGAGAAGGTGGCATGGTCCCAACAGGGGGAAACTGAGCGGGACGCGTGTGAGTCTGTCCCATCTTTGCAACCAAATGGAGAAAAAGCAGGAGCCCTTGCGACTGTTTGCTCTGGTCTGCTGTTGTTTGTTCTCGACTACTGCGTTCTCAAAGCACAATGAGACAATTGAGTCGGTTCTTCGGGATA